AAGTGTTGGAAATTTTTTTAACAACGATTCCCAATATAGTATTCCATTCCTTTCATTATCGGTTATGAATTCTTCAAGAAGTTCACCTTCAGGAGACTTGCTTTCGTATTGTTCTAATTCGGATTCAATCGTGTTTGCGTACTTTGCATATTTTCGTTTGTTTGACATTCTTCTTCTTAGAAATAAAAAATTATTAGATGTAGGATAATCATCATTAATTTCAATGGCTTCAATAGTCTTAGCAGGTAAAGATTCTGCACTTGTATATTTCATTCTATAGTAAATAATTTTTTGCCAAATATCATTAACAAACAGCTCTGCTTTATTTTCACTATATCTACCAACTTCAATTAAGGTTGCCTTTAAGTGCTCCAACTTATACCTCAGGTCAAGTACATGCGCAATTATGACATGGTCAATGATAATATTCCAATATTTATCAAATTTTTTTTTCATTTGATGGATCATTGTAGCTTTTCTGATATGCTGACCAATTTCTAGTATAACCACTATTGCATTAGAGATTGAGTTTGATTCTTCTTTAGAAAGAACTAACATGGCCTTTTCGAATGGCTTAAGGAGTTTGCAGAAGAATATGAGGTTTATAAGCTCTTCATCCTCTAAGCAGAGGGGCATCGATGATTTCTTTAAGCGCATTTCGTAAATTGCTGGATGTAGGTGAATATACCTCTCAAACATCGCTAACGATATCTATTTCAAGAATAGGCTGCAAAAACTTTATTCTAGAAATTTGGCAATATGATTCCAATACATCTAATCTACCACTAGCTAAGGGATTAGCTAAATATTTCATAATTTTATGAATCTTTTCTCGCAGAGGACTTATTTCCTTTAAGCCCTTTTGAATGATAAGGTTAAGAATGTGGCACATGCATCCTAAAAAAATAAAAAATAAAAAAAAAAATAATAATTAAAAACTAAATAAAAAAACCTAACCTATCGATATCAACTCTTTATTTGGCAACTTGTTTTGAAATAACCAGGTTACTGCTTTATTTGTAGTGGTGTTATTCATGGTAAGTGTGAATATCTTATTTTCAATAGAATACTTTTCTAAGGTATCTTTTATTACTGATAATATTTCCTCTGCTGTTTGGCCTGATTTTTGAAAATTTAAAATTATGTTGACTATTTTCCAATCGTCACTAATCCATGATCCTGTAATGACGATGTAATGACATTTATGAACAGTTGAATGCCACCTGTCACATGTTAGTGAAATCCATCCAGAAGTCTTGGCTAGTATATTCTTAATAAACTCGAATCTTTTATTAAACATATCGCTGGTAAGGTGTCATGATATTGTAGTTGAATGTGGGACCTTATATGAATTTATAACATAATGAAGATTTCTAGTTATTTTATGGAATAATGGATTATCAAGAATGCTGAAAGAAATTCCTATTCTAACAACCAAGTCAACTATTGATTTATCTATTTCTTCTTTTGTTATTTGCTTGAACACATCACCATGAGTCTTGCATATTGGAGAAGAAGAACAGCTCAAAGTATGTTCTTTTAAGTATGTTCTACTGATATTTATTGAATATGTCTTTAGTTGGCAATAATCACATTTTCAAAGTTTTTGATCATTATGCATCGGCACAGCCATCCAGTGGTCTTTAGTATGATATGTGTTACCAACTATTTCTTTTCCGATTTCACTTTGTGTTGAAATACTGGGAATGATATCATTAGGAGACGCTGTCGAATCTTCCATTATTAATATAAGTGTGCATGTGAAAAAATCAATATAAATGAAAAAAATATAAAAAAAAATATAAAACAAGAATATAGAAAAGAAACATAAACAGGAAATAAAGGTAAAAAATAAATATAAGCTTTAAGATTGAAAAGCAAGATAGAAAATTAAAACATAAGACAGAGTAGAAAAAAAAAGATATATAAATGAGAAGAATAGAAAATAAGATAGAAGTGAGAAGATAAGAAATATAAGGGCGAAAAGGTAGAAAAAGCAATTTAAAGTAAGATGTATGCAAGAAATTACGATGCAAATTTCTTCTCTCTTTTTTTTTTACCTCTAATTCAGTCCCTTGTTCAGTATTTAGCTTGATCACATATATCACATATATTTGGCTTGATCACATATATTTAGCTCGATCACATACTTTAACTCGATCACATACTTTAACTCGATCACGTATTTTAACTCGATCATATATTTTAACCTGCTCGCATATTTTAACTTGATCACTTAACTCGATCACTTATTTTAATCTATTACTTATTTTACTTAATTATTTATTTTATTTAGTATTAACTCGATTCTTTTGGCGTATACGATAATTTAGAGTGCTCTTAGCACCTAAATTGATAGGTTGAAACTCAATTTTTAATTAGTGAACAAATAGGTTAGCCAGTCAAATGAGTCCATCATCACAATGGAAAGGGTCAAGTCCATCTTTTTATCATAGAGTTGTGCCGATTGACTAAAATTTAATATTTGCATTTTTCATACTATTATAACAGTTAATTGGGAGTGCGATACTAAATAAAGGATAATTGGACCAATCTAACTCTAACCGAGTATGAATAACAGAAGAATTCATGTCTTAATAAGCTGGTACAAAGTTACTAGTCAATTCAGTCTGTCAGATTGAGTCTCGCAAGAGCTTATTAAAGCTAAAGTTGAATTCAAGACAATAACAATGCAGATAAATATGCGAGTTTTAATTTTATTTAATCGCAAGTAGGCATGAATTTATATCGAGCTTTATTGAATTTTTGAGAACTTATATACATTTTAAATTTTAGAACGTTTACGCTCAAATTTGAGCATATTCACATTAATTAGAACGTATACACTTTTTTCTGGGTATATACACTTTAATTTAAGCATATATGCTCATAGTACAGGGATCTATAATTTTTGTGTAAGCACATTTACGAGCTAATTTGAGCATATACGTGCTTGCATGAATTAAGCCACCATCAAATTTACCATTTTTGTATACACAATAAAAATATTTATAGGTATTGAATTAAAAATTAACATTGGATACTTTTGTCAAACCGAAATTGGGGTAAGTAAAAAAAAAAAAAAAAAAAAATACAGACATATTATATATTGAAATCGGGCGTTACGGCGAGTCAGTCGCTCCACAATCCACAATCTCATGTTACCTATGGTTGGCTTAGTCGAAAAGAGGTGTTTAGATTTGGTCAGTGGTTTGGGTCCATAGATAAGTATTTCTTCTTTACTTGTACTGCGGTTTGCCTTTCTTGAGCTGTCTACTAACTTTAATCCTCAATTACCTTACTACTTTGGGTAATTGGACAACATGTACAACCTCAACTATCACACTTCTTCAGATAGTTGGACTTGAGTAACCACGGCTGATCCTGGTACTTTAGGATACAACAGCCGGATGGGAAGGCAACAATACTTTTAGATAGAACAGACAATTGCAAGAAGCAGGTTTTTATAGTCAGGGATTTAGTGATTAGTTAATATAGCAAGGAAGACGGTTATGTATTTATTATGATGTAAGGGGTTAGTTATTATTTTAATAAAGCAAAGTACTAAGGGTCTTCCTTCTTTTTCTATGGCCTTTACAGCCTTTATTTATCTTAAAATTCTTTATTTATATTTGTCATTCTACGTCTGCTACAACTATTATGTTTACTACATCTACTACTTCATTCCCAACTTATACTTATCTGACATGGCCTTTGTGCCCTACGTAGCCATAGTAGCCTATGTAGCCGAAATAGTCTAAGTGGGCTGGGTTACCCTAATTTGGAGTAGCTGTAGTCACATGCCACATGACTTCCCCGGATAACAATATTATATTGAAAGTAAAATTTTATTCATTTCACTATGAGTCTTCAGCAAAATTGCTGGCACATGCCCTATTAAAATTTAGTGCCAGGCATGTGCATGGGCACTATGTTTTAATAGTGTGCATGCCAGCACTTGCAGAATCCTAGTAAAAATTGCTTCAATTAATCCAAGTGCTTTTGCACGATCTTGATCACTAGCTAATCATATTGAGGAATATGCTTAAGAAACCCTTAGCATTATGAATCAGAGTGAAAAAGATTTATTAAAAAATATTATTGTTAGCTAATCGATTAGTTGATTAACTGACTAATTAATTATTTGTTTAGCTAATTATTAAAAAACTGATATAAAAAACAACTAATTGATTAATTAGTCGATTAATCGTTAAATTAATTAGTTGTTTAATTAATCTATAAGATGAATATACTAATAAATAAATATGTTATTATGTTCGCAAAAATTATGTAAATGGATTTCCCTATTAAAAATCAACCAATTAAAATAAAAGCCCACTATGCTCCTAGCATCTGTACTGGCACTTGTGCATTTTGTGCCTGTGCCTATAATAGTGCCTAGCATGCCATTAGTAGTGCCTGGCACATTGTGCTATGCTTATAACAATGCCCGGCATTTGTGCCCATGCCTGTAATAGTACCTGGCACTTTTGTGCCCAAGGCATAAGCATGGCATGAGGCACTAGTGCCTGGCCTGGTGCCAATATGCCAGGCATGGGCATTTGCAGACCTCTATACATGACATATCTGTTTGAGAAGCGACCGAAACGCTGACGCCGTTCGCTGGTGTCACAACAGACTCACCGATGTAGGAGCTCCCATGATATTCGTGGCTATTGTGAAATCGGGAATTGTGATACCGAATACCGTGACCGATCAC